GCGGGGGCCTGCTGCTCCCTCCTGCCAATGTGATGCTGAGGCTTCCTCCTGCTCCTGGGTGCCTGGTGGGCTCTTCCCGAGCCCGGCCGACGGCGGGCAGCCCTCTGAGCCGCATCACCCCTTCCCCGGCTGTAAAAGGGGGCTGCTTGCGGGGGGACGACGGAGCTGGAGAGCCTCCGGTGCTGTGAATAAAGCGGTGACTTTGTCCTCGGCGCAGGGCAGCGTGGTGGAGGGAGCAGGAGGAGGATGGAGAGAAGCCGTGGCGTTTGCAGGGCCTTGGGGACCGGAGGTGGAGGTTGGGGGGGGCAGCTCTGGCATCCCCCCAGCCCCGGCTGCAACCTTCCCCGCATCGCCCCGCGGCAGCATCGGCCCGGGCAACGCGGCAGCTCTGCAGGAAAACGGGACACCGGGGTAAAATGTGACGGGGGAAACCAGATCGCTCCGAAAATGCGCCAGGGTCAGGGAAGGAGCCCGGGTCAGGGAAGGAGCCCTCCCGAGCGGGGCTCAGCCCCCCCGCCACAGCACCAAACACACGCTCCGAGTAACGAGATCCACTTTATTGAGTGCTCCCTTCAACAAGGAAAATAATACAAAAAAAACCAACCCAGTTCAGGTCTCTAGACATCGAATATTTAAATAAGGTTTCTTTATAAGCAGCTGATCGTCCTCTACGTAGTTATGGCAGGACCGTGATTTAAGGCAACTTTTAAGGTTCAGAGCGGGTAGACTCCCCAGCCACCCCAAACCTGCACCCAGAGGGACCTGCGCAGAGCGGGCACCGGGGGGGTCGGCCCTGCCCCTCGCCTGCATCAAAGCAGCTTTGGGGAGAACTGGAACGAGCCATTCGCTCCAAACCCAGAACCGACAGACTTTTAACGGGTCCCTCGAGAGGCGGAAAGCGGGGAGGTCCCAGCCCGAGCGGCAGCCGCTGGTGGCTGTAACAAATGCAGACGCCTAAAGCTCAGCGGCCTGCCCCGCTCCGCTCCATCAGGTTTCTCCCTGTCTTACCTTCTCTGCCGGAGCAGCATCTTTGATTCGGGTCAGCCCAGGCTTTGGGAGGAGGCAACCCGGCAGCATCGCAAGCAACACGAGATAGGTAAATGAAGCGGCCGACCCCAACCTCGCTGGCTTGGCCTCAGCCAGCCAGGGAGGAGGGGTGACTAAAGGTAAAATAAATAGAAGAGGGGTCTCGGGGCTTGCCAGCCCGGTCCCACACCGCGGCAGTTCGACCCCACCGTCAACCACCTCTTCGCTGGGGAGGGCAACCCACGTCCGGGGCCAGGTTCCTAATCCTCGACGTGGCCAATTAGAGGAAAAGAGGAGGTCAGGAACACCGAAGAGCATTTGCTGCTGCACCTCCCTTCCCTTTATACCCCCAGGGAGGTGCCCCAGGCTCTGCTCCTCCTCCCTCCCCACCCCAGCCAGGCGACGGGTCCCATCCAGGCCACCTAAACGTCACCGTGCCACCTCTCCCTGATACTGCTGAGCCTAAGGAAAAGTCCTTCGGGGTTAGTTGGCTGCTGCCGCTCACCACGAGCAGCGTCGCAGCATCGTTCGGTCCCTGTGTCACCATCCCGGCGTGGGACACGGACACCAACAGCCATCCCACGGGACAAAGAAAGTGCTGGCTTTTGACCTGTTCTTGCACGGCCCCGGCCGAGCGGCGTCTACTGGATCACGCAGGAGAGGTTTTCTCCGAAACAACAGGGGCAAGAAGAGGAGGCGATGGGTTTTGGGAGGATGAGATCCAGATCTTCGTCATCGGGGACCTCGTCAAGGTGGTACCCATCCTGCAGCAGCTGCCGGCTCAGGTCCTGGTTCACCTGCTGGGGGGGGGGAACAAAGGAGGCAGAGCTGGTTAAAATTAGTCCCAGTTTAGTTAAAATTTAGGTCCCGGGGCTCGCAAAGGGTAGGGCTGCGAGCAGGAAGGGCATCGCGTCCTCCCTCCAGTGCCTTCGCGGGGGGAGAAGCAGCGCAACCGGAGCAGAGAAGGCGAAAGCAAAAGTCCAAAGAGCTTTTCCTGGGCTGCAGCACCCCGACACCCACACCCCCCCTCCCCCCCCCCTTGTACGATGGAGCTCTTCAGCTGCCCCGCTGCAGGGTCTGGGGGTAGGCGACGCTTTAGGTGCGAAGGGCGAAGCGGCGACAGCCAGCCGGGGCTCGCAAAAGGGAGATTCGTGCACGGCTTAAATGTTACCGGGCAGCAGAGGCAGCAGTTCTGCCGAGCAGAGCTCTGCGGGATGGACGCGCGCGCACACACCCCGCAGGGGCGATGCTTCATTTCAGCCCCTGTACAGACCCCGAGGTGTAACGGGGGCGAGGGAACCCGCGGGGACCGCGCCCTCGGGGTCAAACCCCTGGACTTGCCTCGGCGGAGGAGTAGCCCGAGGAACATCTGGATCCCAGCTCCCCGTCACTAAGAGAAGAAGGAAACGGTCAGAGCCAGCTGGGAAGCGGCGTCTTCGCTTGGGATACAGACGAGGGAACCTCGGTGGGAGGAAAAAGGGAGCCGGCAGCGTAACCCCAAGGGATTTGTTAAATTTGGGACAACAGGAGGGCTTCGCTGCCGAGAAGCGCCCAGTGCAATTGGGGATGCTCTACAAGCGACAAGGAAAATCAATCCCCCCCCCAAAAAACACCAGCTCTGAGCCTGCAACACCCCCCACCCAAAATCCTGGGATATTCACCCAGTCCCCACCTGTCCGAATCGAGGGAGACCAGGTTTTCATCCGCCGTCTGGCTGAGCGCCGTGTAGCCCTTGTTAAACTTCACCGACCTGCCGGAAAGCAGAGGAACGAGCCCGTAAGACATTCTGGTGTGGAAATGCAGCCACGGAGCTGACGGGCTGCGGAGCCAGGGCAGGAATCCCGGTCCCGAACATCCCTTCCCACCCAGGCGTTGTCCAGGGCCACCACCAGCCAAGAATAAACTCCATCTAAGCTCTGGGCTACCCGATTAAATCCTTAACGCCGAACCATCCCCAAAACAAAGAGAAGAAGGAGCACGGCCCCTGCTAGAGCAACTCCTAACTTTTGCAGGAAAAGCGCTATCTTTTATTACCTCGGATGCTTGCCGGCCACAACAGAGCCAGCAGGCTGAAGTCCCAGACTCCTTTTTTAATCCCGAGTTCCCCAGTCTCCCCAAGGAATGCGGAAAAATACATCTTGGGAAAAGAAAAC